GTAACCAACGAATTACTACAAGACTCTATTTCTACTTTGTTGTGTGTGTGTGTGTGTGTGTGTGTGTGTGTGTGTAAAGCTCTTATGAAAAATCACATATTTGGCCAATGTCAAATTTGTTCCTGTGTTGTAAGTAACATCAGTCTGAGATTTCAGGCAGTGCTATACGGACTGCTGTTTGACTCTCTTTCCTTCAAGGAATCCATGGGACATCCATTTGTTTGCCAGGAGACTGTTCAAAAGTGCCAGGGAAGATCTGGAAAAGAATTAAACCCTGCAGAGAAGTCTATTTTCACTTTTTTGTTTGTTTTGTTTAACCCTCTCTTCAGGTCCAATAATCCTGGCAATGGATTTTCTCTCCCTAATATCTACTAGGAGGCCAAGCACACTGGTTCAATGACTGGCATTTAGGAACTCCCACTGAGAACCCCTGATGGAACTGTGTGCCTTTTTAAAATTCAAAATGTTGCCAGCTAATTAGATTTTACGTGGGTGCTTCTCCAAATAACTTCTAATTCTCTTCAGTATGATCTGGTATGTGGGCAGCTGACCTGAGCTTGCTTGTTGTCCTTGGAGTCCAGGATCCCCGTTCACACACCAGCACAACTTCATGAATAGAAATATAACTGTCAAGAGCAAGGAAAGTAAAGACAAGGTTAGAAAGTATTTTGCCTCTAGAAACACTTTTCAATAAAGTGAATTGCCTGGCTTGGAGGCAGATAGAACACTATTTCCAAAGTAAGGTGATGCCTCCTTATAGTTCCCTGAAGGTAGAGTCCAGCACACCTTGGTGTTGCTCAAGCAACCCCCCCAATAAGCAGCAGGACGAAGATATAGGGGACTGTGCTGCTTGTCTGAGATGTGGGCTGTGGAACCTAACCGTTCAGACATCTCCGCAGCCACCTTCACTCAGTGACCACCGTTCCCACCTTCTCCTCTAATGGTGGAAAGAGCTTGGAGACAAATAGAAGACTCTACCAACAAAGACCAAACAAAAATCCTTTCTGGAAAGAGAAGAGAAAATGGAAGCAAGAACCTAATGGCTGCGGCATCAGCCAGAATATTTTAGCGGTGTATATTATCTATCGAACACCAGTATTGTACTTTTTGCAAGGCAAGAATAGAGCTGATATTCATCTTCACAGTAAATGATTTTTTTTCACTGGTTTCAAAAGTTTATAGCCATTATCTAACCTAAACCCAAGCTTCAAAGAGAGAGAGAGACTTTGAGGATGTGAGAAGAGCTGTTACAGTAATTTTTCCAAGTAATTTTTTTCTCTTTGTTCCTCTTGTCCTGCAGTATAAAGGGGGGAAATATTTAAACCATCAGTTGCTTGCTCCATCAGAACTTGCATAATAGAAGCCTTTATGGCAACACGTTAGACTCCAGCACCATATCACAGCTCATTAAAATAGAGGAACAGTTATGCAGTACTCTTTTTGTAAAAAGAGTATATGCCATATAAGGCAGCCAACTTGATCCTCTGTGGGTAGCACATTTTCAAGGCTCTACAAAAGTAGAGATTCAGGGTGGGATTTTTCAAAAGCACTTGGCATTGTCCTAATTCTGTTCCCATTGAAGTCTGTAGGAGTTTTACCACTGAGTTCAATGGCAGCAGGGTTACATCAATGTAGGTTGGCTGGTTTTGAAAGCTTCAAGTGATTCATCTTGTGGTGAAGTGCTAGATGGTGTGTTTTTATTTTTAATTTTTCTCAGTTACAAATGTCGTGTTTTTTTGTTTTTGTTTACATGAATCCATTATATTTATTTTTAGCTCATTAGGTCAGTTCATTGCCTATAATATTCCATTATGAGGATTGTTGGACGTACATTTCCTGTGTCTGACACTATCTCCTTTCTGCTGTAAAAAGTACTTCCGGCTGTAGTGTAAATTCCAAATATTTCCCCTTTTTGTGAATATCAAGATGGTGTGCATTTTACTACACACCCTAATGTAAGTCTTCATAAGCAGGAAAAATATGTTGTGGTGTTGTGTGGCTCTTTGTGTGGTGAGAGTGGTTAGATGGTGTTTTAGAGGGTGAGGGGAAAGTTCTGACTGATCCAATCTTGTGACAATGGAAATAAATTGAAATAGGTGTTAGGTATTTAGTAAAACTGCTCTGTTTTTTTAATCTGCGCTCCCCTCCCCCCCCAGCAATTATTTTTTATAAATGTTGTTTAATGACTTTACTGTTTATCTAAAATTGATAGATAATTTGATTTTATTATTAATGCCAGTAACATCTTTGTACATAGTAACAGAATTTTGTGTCATTTTCAAAGGTATCCTGACTGAGCCTTTTGTTACTAGCCATAGCCTGTAAAAGGTGATGGGTGCTGTTAGCTCTCTGTTCGTTTAAGGCTAAGAAATCATTCTTTTTAGGATTCCTAGTCAGAGTGCAATGTTAGATGCAATGTTTCAGTAGCTGCAGAATGAAAGCAATGAACTGTATAACTGCTATTGTTTACAGTCCACTGTTCTGCAACTGAAGTTGGTTGCAGTATGCCTTTATTTTATATTACTTCATGCCTCTTCTCTTAGCTGTATTTTTATTTATTTAGTTATCAGGAATACATTGTACTATATTACTTCTGCTCATTTTAAGAATAAAAGCTAATAACTAGAAAACGGGAGGAGGAGGGGTGGCATAAGAGACCATATAATTTTAAAAGGATATTAATTACAGGCAGCTTGCTCCCTTTTGAATAACCTTTTCCCCAAACACATTTTGATATTTCAGTGAGCCACCTGGTTTAGACATGAAATATTTGAAGAAAGATGGCAACTTGCCTTTGAGAGGACTAAAACCTTTGTCTGTAGCAAGTACAGGTAAATAATCTAATGGAGTGCAACTGTTTGAAAGATGATTTGTTTGTTTGACCCAATTGGCCAGCAGTTCAGGGCTGTTTGGTGCTACCATAATGTAAATGTTTAGTCATAATACCCTGTGTATTTAACAGTGTGTGATTTGAAACCACGTTACAGTGGTCACCATTTTGATGTAGCATGATATCTTAAGATACCTCAATTGTTTCCTGTTCGATGTGTAGGGGAATACTGAGGTAGTTCAGGTTTCACTGTTTGACACACAGTAGTATTTTAATGGATACAATATGAATGTATGGTGGAGTTACTTCTAGAGATGGACCTGAACTGGTAAGTTCTGATCTGAACTTCCTCAGTTCAGAAGAATAGAAATGGCATTTTGGAGTTTTGGTTCAGGCCCATTTTTACTCTTGGCAAATTTATGATGTTAGAATAGAACAGCTTAAAGTATATTATTGGCCAAATCTGTTAACCTACACAGGAATGTTTATAGTATGAGGTCCTGATTCAGCAAAATACTTAAGCAGGTACCTAACTTTTTAAGCACGTGAATAGCCCCGTACTTAAAGTTGGGCATCTGCTTGTGTATGTAGTTGAATCAGAGACAAAATGATTTTTGGGGGGTGGGGTAAGGTAGCAGGGGAGGAAGCTTACTATATGGTGAACTTAAGATGTCTATTCAAAACAATTTAATATGAATAATCGTTTGTATATGCATTTAACCACCTTACAAAGAGTACAATATCTGGTCGATTTTTTTTTTTTAAATTTTTTTTTTCTAGTGTTATCAAGAACTATGTTACCCAAGCAAGGAACTCCACCTGTAATATCTGCTTACTTCCCAGGGCAACAGACTAGACTCCCTGCATCATAAGCTCCAATTTTATTAAGAGGCTTGCCCATGTTAATGGAAGCAGCATCAAATATATGCATCTGATTTAGCGTGTCTAATGTAAAAGAAAAAAGAGGTGCTTGAGCAACACTGTCATAAAATTGACTTTATAGTCCATCTGGACTTGGTTACTCTTTTCTGTAAAGTCTGTGCTCATCAAAACTGCCAAAATATGTTCTGGAGGTAAAGCCAGCTATTAAAAAAATGAATGATTTCATTTCTAGTTCTAAGTCTTTAAAATGAGTTAATGTTTTTGATTTATTTTGTTTAGTATAAAGCAGTAGCTGATTGACTCTTCAAAGATACAAAGCTGTGCAGGCTAAATGAAAGCATTTATTTCATGTGCTTTTGGTGCTTAGAGCTGTGTGTATGCACACACCTTATTACTACAGGATGTACCAGTTTTTGCCCCTTCCGCTTAGAAGTGGTTTTTGTAATCCACAAACTGTAAATTTCTAAGAACAACTTTTTTAAAAAATGGCAAATTACAGCAGGAATACTCCAATGTGTGTGCAATATTTATTCTGTTACATACTAAGTATGACCTCTGTTGATAACTATTCACTCTGGGGGGGGGGGGGGAGGGAATTTATTTCTGCAATCCAGGGTGTTTTTTTTTTTGTTTGTGGTGGTTTTTAACTGCATTCTATTTGGGAATTTTTGCACAAAAACTCTTCAAAACTTTGAAACACCCATTTTATATTAGCTATGCAAAGACTACAAAGTTAAAGTGCCTATTTTATTATGTATTTTATAACTGGGGTCAGACAGTTATCTAATATTTATATTTTTAATAGATATTTGTGTCTAATATTTACTGTTAAAACTTGGACAAGTCTAGTAACAGACAACAGATTCAATGAATTCTAGATGCTGAAAACTTTTGTACTGTACCATTCTAAAAATTGTAAGTTTTGATAGATTAGGATGGATACACACTCTCAGTGGGTGCAATTCCATTTACTTATATCAGTTCTTTCTTTGACCATTTGTTCTCCAAACAGTTTTAAATCAAACATATTGAATCCACCTTTTTCAAAATGTTTAAAAACTGAGGTCTATTGGCAAAATGTTATAAGATCTGTATTTTATGTGAAACTCAATACAACCAACCCATTTTGTGAGAGATTCAAGATGTCAGCGGAAGAATCTGCCTTTCACCTGATAAGGGTTTGCCCATCTATGTTCCTACATATCTACGGGTCACTTTCTCTCCTTCTCCCCCACACTTAATTTTTTTCTCTTTTTCTTATATAGAGTCCTTGTCCTGATTTCTAAGAAATGATACAGATATCACTGCAGTGTCTCCTCCCATTTTCAGACAGTTCTAGCTTGATCTGTTGTGAATAAATATTTGCAGTCGCAACAGAAAGCATAGTTTGCAGTTGATACTCAAATAGCTTTGATCCTCATTTTTTTTCCTTTTGATTCAATAGTCAACTTTTTGGGAGACATGAAATTGGTCATTGGATTATTAAAGTGAGACAGATCTGCTCTAAATTGATGCTCTACTGTAATCTTCAAAACAATGTTAAAATGTAATACCTGGAACTTGGCAGTTTAATTTTCATGTCAGTATTATAAATGTTAACCTTTTTCTAAACTTACTTTTCTTGTAGACCATATATGAGGTTGTGGGGAGCAGCAGCGGGTTAACCCTAATTACTATCCATGCTATACCATACTTCCATTTCTGGAACTTTCAAATGCATCTCACGTTTGGATCCAGACAAAATTGGGTATTCATAATTGCAGTGTTGTTGTTTTTTGCTTGACCTCTTCCCCCGTGGGTTATTTTGTGAGAGGATTTTGCATGTCTCAAAGAACTGTCCAAGGGTTTGGAATGTGCCTCACCTGTCACTTGATGCCTAACCCTGTGTTTCAATGTGTTGTCTGTCTTGCAGCATGTCAAAAGTGTGTATAAAAATGCTACATTTTATATTTCTTTTACATTATATTGTGAATAAAATATTTGAACTCTTTGGATTTTAATTGCCTAACTTTGTTCTTTTAAAAGAAAACAGAGGTGCTATTTTCCAAATCTATACTATCTGGCAAAAATTTTGCTCTCTGCACACTGCCGCCCCACTCGATGAAAGAGGGGTGGGTGACACAGGCATAGCTAAGAGCAAAATATGAAGACCAGGGGATGGGCATAGTAAAGGAGGACAGAATTTGGCTTGGTGACTCTTCAGAAAAATCCCTTGTTTGCTGCCAGAAAACCATGCCCCCCACACACCTTGTAAACTGACCGTATTTGATGTGAATATCATTTAGACATCATAACCACGAAAAGCTTGGTTGGTTGTAGTTCTGTAATGCATTGTACGTGGGGCTATGCCTTTAAAGCACTTGGACACTGAAGCTAGTCCAGAATCAACCTAGAAAACTTAGGATTTTTCATACAGGATCAGACCAGATTTTTCCCCCCTTCAATGTCATGATGCCTGTCCCTCTAGCTTGTTTAAATCTCTCAAGTTTCTCACAGTCTTCTCTGGTCCTGACTAACCTAAATAACTGTCCTCTACTAATTTTTTTTTTTAAACCTAACTGTTCATCCCCTTTCCAGCTCATTTTAATGTATTTGTTAAACAACACAGGATCTAGTGTAACCCTCTTGCCAGGTGGAACCAGCAGCAACCAAGGCTGTGTTCAATATCTAAGGGTTCCTTTTCAACAATACAACACAGAACTGGCTCAAGCCCCCACCCAATAACCTGGGAAAATTACACACCACTCCTGGGTGCCTCTGAGAGGCAATATTTCCCCACTTGCAAGCACAGAGTCGGAGTGTAGAAAAGGAAACTTTTAATGAAAGGTGGGAAGTCACCGGACATTAATTAGGGAAAATGCCACAAGCAGGATTCATGATCGTAAAACTGAGCAGGACATCCACCCCAGATTGTATCCCCACCCCTCTTACTTTCATTCTGGCATTCTGGCTCCCCCCGACTTAATGAGGAACCCTTTCAGCTGAGGTCACCCTCTCATTTGGGACAGGTTAAGCACAGTTCTGCTCCCCTGTATTCATACAATAAAGACAATAACATTTCACTACCCATGTATTCAGTAACTAAAGTGATTTGTAACCCAACACCAGCCAAAGTTGATCACTTTGAGCAACACACCTCTATCTGCTGGATATCTTGGCAGAGTAGGTGTGTTCATGTAAATACAGTTTGCTTCTGAAGTCTCTTCCCCTTCCACCTAATTGTCAGGGGAGAACTCATTCAGGCCCTGCTTACACTGAGACCTTGAATCATCCCACTGTTTACCTTTTGCCATGATGAAAATTGACTCTTTCATCCTACTCTTTGCTTTGTCTTCTAGCCAGTTTTTGATCCAAAACAATGCTTTGCTTCTCACCACAAGACTACTTTTCTTTAGTAGCCTCTTGTGTCGGACCTTGTCAGAGGCCTTTTTGAAATTTAAATAGTCAACCAATTTATTCATAATTTAATGACTTATTCAAATAATTCTAAGATTAGTGAGCAAACAAAATATGTTTAGTGACAATTAAGGGTGCATCAAGACTGTCAAAATCCTTGAAAATGTGGAAATTTCCATCATTACTTGCTACCTTTACAGCTCTTGCAACAGTATTGATAACACACTGAAATTTTCATTTCCATCTTCAACTGATGCCAGAAAGCACTTATGTATCTCAACTTCATCTGTCATGCAAAACCTTGATGGTGATATCTATACTTTCTTGTATCAATAGATTGACACATCTGACTATCACACAGTCCATTAATTTGGAAAATTATTCTGGTAAAACACTGCTGCCATCATTACCTGTGCCTGGATTTGTCAACTATCAAACACACTACAAAAGTACTTTTCCCTTGTTCATGGGGATTTTGTGTGTGTGGATTGAGAGGTATGGGTGAAAACTACCAGGAGAGATTGGGGTTAAAATTAGTGCTGTTACAAGTGTAAATGTCCATTTGTTTATTTAATATCTATGAAGCAGTTGTGATTCTGTCTTTATTGTTTTGTACTTTGATTTTTAGTGTTTCTTTAGAAAGGCAGGGGTGTGCACGCACATGTGAGTTTAAAAAAAATACATTTTGTGAAAGCACGAACGCTTTGGGACTTAAAAATGAAAATAAATCCCATAACAGTACTTAATCACGTCTCAAAAAAAAATACACACATACTCTTCCTACTTGAAATGTGCATGTGTGTATTCAGAGAAACAATTCAAGACAGTTGATAATGTGGTGTGAATTAAAGATAAGTGGGATAAAAATACTGTTCAATGAATAAATGAAAGCATTCAGTCACAAAGTCAAAAACATACCAATACAATAAAGGCAAAGGGGGGGGGGGGAAAGATGATTTAAGATTAAATTTGAAAACCTGGAAAGACCATGATGGCTGCCATTTGTAGGAGTTGAGAGACTGCTCTCCCCACCAATGGTGGTGATGTAAGAAGAGATCAAGAATGGACAGGGACTAGATGTATGTAGGAAGCAAGGAGAGAAGAAAAAGGAGGGGAAAAGATTGGAAAAGTGGCTACGTGGGGGGGGGGGGGGGGAGGTCCAGCTTAAAAAAAAAAGTGATAATGAGGTAGTGATTGCATTCACTTGTGTGAGAAAGTGAAGTAGCCAAATTCTGGGGAAATTGTGGACCTGGTATAGTCAAGTAAAGACGTAACTAAACTGGCTGAGGATTTCAGCAGAAACACAGTCAAGTTAGTTGTTTGGGATCACAGGAAATGCTGTGGAGATGTTGAGAACCAGATTTATAATCATACATTAGTAGACTAGGGAAGGGAATAAAAATTCAGTCAAAGTTGATGTGAAGCATTCGAACAGTGCAGGTAAATGGGAAGTTGGAGAGATACTTGAGAAAAGCTTCCCTCAAGATATGTAGCTGGAAAAGATTGGGACAAAGCCACTATCTTACATCTGGATAGAGTGATATTATTTTCTTTATAAACGTATTGCTACAGAAGCTCTTATATTACTACTACTACTAAAAATGTTGTCGGTATTTTAATTCATAGTAATGTAAAGTATCAGGTTTATAACAAATGGAGGTGAATTTGAGATCAGAATAAGGGACTGTTGTGATGAATGTTACAGAAAGTCTTTGTCTCTCTTTGCTTCCTCTTTCTTACAGTTTCAGTGAGATAATGCGTTCAGTTTGTGGTGGTACAACCTCTAGCTCCTCCTAATGGCAGAGCCACACTTGTATCTCTTTCCACACTTGCTTAATCAAAACCAAAGGTGAAGTACAAAATGGGTTAGTACAGACTACTGCTAATTATACTGCAAAATAACACCGCATATTTCCAATCCAGGATGATTTCAATAGAGGTGGTAAATTTAGGGGTGAATGTGAACATAAGAATGGCCATACTGAGTCAGACCAAGGGTCCATCTAGCCCAGTATCCAGAGGGCATGAACAGAACAGGTAATCATCAAGTGACCCATCCCCTGTCGCCCATTCCCAGCTCCTGGCAAACAACATGGTTTTGCATCCATGCCCATCCTGGCTAGTAGCCACTGATGGACCTATCCTACATGAATTTATTCTTTTTTTTTTTTAACCTTATTATAGTCTTGGCCTCCACAACATCCTCTGCCAAAGAGTTCCACAGGTTGATTGTGCATTTGTGTGAAGAAATACTTTCTTTTGTTTGTTTTAAACCTGCTGTCTATTAATTTCATTTGGTGACCCCTGTTCTTGTGTTATGAGGAGTAAATAACACTTCCTTATTTACTATCTCTACATCAGTCATGATTTTATAGACCTCTATCATATCCCGCCTTAGTCATCTCCTTTCTAAGCTGAAAAGTCCCAGTAGTGTTAATCTCTCCTCATATGGAAACTGTTCCATACCCCTAATCATTTTTGTTACCCTTTTCTGTACCTCTTTCCAATTCCAATATATTTTTTTTTCAGATGGGGCAACCAGATCTGCACACAGTATTCTGAACCAAATAATTATATAGATGCAATATATTTTCTATTGTATCTATCCCTTTCCTAATGATTCCCAACATTGTTAGCTTTTTTTGACTGCTGCTGCACATTGAGTGGATGTTTTCAGAGAACTATCCACAATAACTCCAAGATCTTTCTTGAGTAGTAACAGCTAATTTAGATCCCATCATTTTATATGTATACTTGGGATTATGTTTTCCAATGTGCAATACTTTGCATTTATCAACACTGAATTTCATCTGCCATTTTGTTGCCTAGTTACCCAGTTTTGTGAGATCTCTTTGCAGTCTGCTTGGGACTTCAATATCTTGAGTAGTTTTGTGTCATCTGCACATTTTGCCACCTTGCTGTTTACCCTTTTTCCAGATCATTTATGAATATGTTGAACAGTACTGGTCCCAGAACAGACCCCTGGGGGACACCACTGTTTACCTCTCTCCATTCTGAAAACTGACCATTTATTTATACTTCGTTTCCTATCTTTTAACCACTTACTGATACATGAGAGGATCTTCCCTCTCATCCCATGCTTAAGAGCCTTTGGTCAGAGACCTTGTCAAAGACTTTCTGAAAATCTAAATACACTTATATCCATTGGATCCTCCTTGTCCACATGCTTATTGACCCCCCTCAAAGAATTCTAGTAGATGTGTCTAGTTATAGATTAGGAAATCTGTAATTGTGAATGAGGAAATGTAGTATCCTTGTCTCCGTTTGTCTTGGGAAAAGATCGGCTGCAGATTTATGATGATGTAAGTTTAAACATCATTACTTGTCAGAACAATCAAGTGTGCATAGCTTTACTTACTGTGGATGAAAAGTAGTAATTTTTCCTCACCTGTTTCACTAAGAAGGGTAAGGAAATATGGCTGTTTATAAATCAAGATACTGAAAAGTTTTATTTTGTATATATATACGCACTCACTCACTCTAAAGTCACTGGAACTGTGCTGTTTATCATACGGCATTTAAGTAGGACTGTCAAGTGATTAAAAAATTAATTGTGATTGATTGGGC